TGGTTTGAGTCAACCCACCAGCTACTCCTTGGAAACCCTGTATAGGGTTGCTATGAGTCAGATCTGACTCCATGGCACTTAACAATAACACCAATTACAATGTAGGAATCCTGGTATGGCACTTTTAAGACAAACACAGTACTGCTAATACAACGTTAGCAGTTCAAATCCTCCAGCTGCTCCTAGAAAATCATTTACAGGGTTGCTATGATTTGGAACTGATTCAATAGCACTTAACAACAATCACAATGTATTTGCCTTTATGAAAAATATTTAAACACTTAATTTTCTAATCACTTACACCTTGCCAGCTATTCATTTTTATTTGTTATTTGAATAACTATCAAAAAATAAATTCTTTTCCTTAATTTGGGTTATTTCTTATAGTTGATATATTATAGGTTTAGATATGGTATGATTATATTTATGCAGAGTCTATCTAACAATCTTATTTTAACTTCTAGATTTGAAACTTAATTGGCTCTCTGCTAAAATGCTTTCTTTTGTTTGTTAAATGGAACAGTTTTAAATGGAAAAGATATCCAGTCAGTTCACTTCTCTTTTGACTGGGAGAATGTAGCCTCCACTCAGTAGAATCTGTACTAAGCCTCCCTCCCTTTGGGAAAATCGCTCTAACCAGTGCTGCACAGGAAAACTAAAACTATTCTAGAATGTCTTTGGAAAGGAAAGGGGATATATTGACAGGTACTATTACCTGACCTTCCCTGAATCAGTACCCGATCACCAAGCAGGATGAAAGCAAGAACCCCATACAAAAAGGAGACAGCAGGTATGTGGCCACATCATACAAGCAACCAGGTACCCTCTGGCCTCTCACCTACACCATCATGCAGCCAAGTCAGGTGGGATGCATTTGTTTTTAAATATCCCTTCTTTACAAATCTCAGCCCTTAGACAATTTGGAAACAGTCATAAAGAGGTAGTTATTACACTAACATTTTCCAGACATTGCTGATTGATTATGTTACAACACAGAAAGTACTTTTTTTTTTTTTCCATTTTTACTTTCAGCACACAAAATTATTAACACTGTAGCTAGTAATCTCTTGTGTATTTTGCTTGTTCTATTTAATACCTCTATATAGTCTACAATTTTGCTTTTCTGCTTCTTCTTTAAGAGAAACTATTTTATATATACTGATGAAAGAATAATTGAAAACTAAAAGAATAATTTTGTGTAATATAAAAGAGTTCTGAAAACTGATTCAGCATCAGTTCTCATTTGATTTTCAAGTGTTTATGTGTATGTAGTTGCATATATATATTTGTCTATGTTTATACAGAGGTTTAAAATATTTCACAATATATTTTTTTTGTTTGGTGAGTTGACTATCATTCAATTCTGGGTAAAAAATACAATGTAGAAGTTATGAATGATGATATTTCATTTCACTATTTGACATCACAATATTTCTTTTTACATTATTCAGATTATGTCTCATGTTCCCAAAACCAAAGACAGTGTGTGTATAAAATATCTTCCATTACCTAATATTTATTTTTATGTTGTTACCTTGATAACTTCATCTAAGCAAAGTCAGGGACTATTCATCATCATGTAGATTCAATTTTACTTTGATTTGAAAACTATACAGCTGCTTAAAGAAAGCAAGAACCATGTAAACTCTGATTAACAATTCCCTTAAAAATCTATTATTTTTTTAAACTTCAAGATAAGATATGTTGTCCTAGTTTTCAAACAGTTTAATTTCCTATTTTCTCCCCATTAAAGTAGCAGAGATCATCATTAACGTGGCAAAGTGTTTCTCCATAGTCCCTTTACTCTGTGCATTCTACTTAGTGAGAGATTTAACCTTATACTACTTCCAAAGTAACAATCTTAATCCAACAAAGGAAGCCACAGTGATATAAAATTAAGTCAATATTCCACAATCATATTTTAGCATACTTTCATTAAGAACATTGTGATTCAAATCACAATGTTTTTATAAAGTTATTCATTTTTGTGGAAAAATTAATAAAAGGAACTTTTCTAGAAATTTTAAACTGGCATTTAGTAGTAAGTAGTCTTATTGATGCAAACTATAGTCAATCTTTACTATATAGCATATTCCTTAGGTCTCTGGTTTCTTTGGTAGTTTTTAAACTTCTATTAAACTGATTAAATGTGTCTGTAAGGTAAAGTAATTTTATTTCAGTGTACATATTCAAGGAGTCACGGTTATACAGTTAAACCTTGTAACTTTCCAGCTTGGAAAACTTAAAACTTGGAAAACTTGAGTAGAATCTTACTCAGTTTCTCATAGTTGATAATGGCAAAGTCTCCTCAAAATTTTCCCTAGCTGCTAGAATTTTCTGTGTCTTAAAACAAGTGATTTTAGTTTCAGGTCTGAGTAACGTAGTATATGTTCACAGTAGAATTATTTCTAAGAGTACAAGTAAGAATGAACACAGTGGACACAATGTATAAATATATTGTGATAAATTCACACAGAGGAATAATCTACAGCATAAAACTAACTCCTATTACAGACAACATGGAGACCTGGTTTGTCGCTGCAGGATAATGTGCTAGACTGCAAGGACTGTTTGAACTGCAAGGTTGTTTTGAACCACAAGGTTGGTGGTTCAAACTCACCAGCTATTCATCAGAAACCCTATGCAGGGTCACTATGAGTCAGAATTGACTGGATGGCACTTAACAACAACAAGAACAATTATGTACAGCATAGTTGATTCCCCAAAACACAGTGTTAAATGAAAGAAAAGAGTCATGAAAGAATCATGCCATATTATTTCATTGGTAAAACTGTTTAGATAACATTAAAAGAGCATTTAGTGGTTATGTTTGTGGAAGAGAAAGGAGACAGTGATGTGCAAAGGACAAAGGAAGGCTTTTGGGGTCTTGAAATGTCCCTAGATCTTGATGGATACTTGAGTATTCATTTAGTGATAAAATTGGTAAGCTGTTTATTTTGTTCCTTTTCATACAAATACTTTTGTCACAATTTTATACACTTAAAATATTTGGGAAAGTGGGTATAGATTATCACTAGTTTGTGAGGGTCCTAAACTTGTTGTAATGATACTCCCTGTCATTAAGAAAAATTTAAATTATAAGACTATTCTTTCTTTTCCTCTTAAAGTATTTTTTTTTTATCAATCTAGTTAAATCTGTTAACAGCCTTGTTGTATAATTTCCTGGTTGTATATGTATGTAAGAGTGATTTTATGTGTGTGTGTGTGTATATATATATATATATACTAGAAAGAGAGAGAAACTGAAGAAAACAGAGGCAGACAGAGGGGTTATATTGATGGACTGAAAATTATCACAAGTACTCTACAAATTGTGCTTCTCCATATTGCAATATTAGGTAAAGAAAGGCATTTCTGCATAAGTTCATTTCTAAGAGTGAAGATAGGTGAACCAGGATTCAAGGCTTAGTCATCCATCTGGCTTTAAAGAGTGATTTTCAACAATCATACCACATTCATAGCCTGAAAAGTACATAAAAATTGTTGTTTGGTTCCTAGATCAGAATTACTCTCTTGAATAGTGTTCTAACAATTTCCATGTTTCTTGATCCCAAATCACACTTTATTATCTTGAGTGAAAAAGAGGAAGGCCCTCAAAGAATTAACTTACTGGCTACAATAAAGGCCTCTAACATAACAATCATTATGAGAATTGTTAAAGACCAGCCAGCATTTTGTCTTGTTGAACATAGGGTTGCTATGCGTCAGAACCAACTCCAACATGCCTAACAACAAAAACAAGAACAACTTTGTATCATGATACTAGTAGAATCAGACATTCTAGCTGTTACCTCTACTGGAATAAAGTTCTCCTGTTTAGTTGTTAATACTCTTTATGATTCATTTGATAAAAGATACATGAGCTTTTTAGCTGTGCAAGAGCTATGAAGAGTTATATGTTTTATTTTGGTTTGGAGTCCTCACATTCACATGACCCCCAAAATCCATCTTTTGTCAAAAATCGCCAAAATATTCCTCTTATATGTTCATTAGAAATGTGAGTTGTAAAATAGGTGATCCTAATTTCTTTAGGGTTCACAATAAAATTATGTGAGTTTGACATAATACACTTGTAGTTCTATCTCAAGCCATAGTGATTGATGGAAGTAACATATTTCTCATCATACAAAATGTCATCTTACTTACTATTTTGTTCTAGCTATGGCACATCATGACATGTCAGTCAACAGAAACTCTCCTGTATTAGAGATGTGGTAAAATTGCCAAACGCTTCATTATCCTAAGTTATGGTTATATGCTACAACGTTATATAAATTTCCTGAAATGTAAAATAAAACCACAGAGTTTTAACGTTAAACAGAATTTGACTGAATATGATTTCTATCTGGCTTACCTCTACATCGCTGTGTAAGTAGATAAAATGGAAAGAAAATAGACAAAATGGAAAACCCTTTTATTGAAAATAATTTGGAAAGTGAAGACACCTGTTTTGGATTCAGTTCTTTGTCAAGTAGAAAGAGGAAAGATAATGATATGGCTGTTGGCAGATGCCCGACTGTTGAAGTAGAGTATCATTACAATAGAGATCTAACAGTATCCTCAAAGGTCATCACGGTCATTTAAAAATAAGTAACATTTGTCCAATTGGCTATTTTAGTGACCTCCTGGTCAACATTGTCTAAAAACTTGGTAACTCGGAACTTTATTCAGTATTTTGAGTGTCAAATCCCTTCATCACATACAAATGAAAAGATGTTATTATTTGTGAACTACCATCCCCTTTCAGCAGTTGAACTCAAATGTCAAGAGACTGAAACACTGATTTTAAGAAGCTAAACTTTAGCAGTGATAGATGAAGATTTGTGTTATAGCAATTACCACTGAGAGCTAATGATAATGGTCATGGTATTTAAAGAGTAGCTCTACCAGCAATTCAGTATTTTGTAATGAACAGTTTTCAGCCATCCTAAGATTCTGACATTTAAAATGTGTTCTCTCTCTCTCTCTTTTTTTCACAGGCTCACCTTGTAGCAGCTTTTGAAAAGAGTTTAGGGAATATGACTGGACGTCTGCAAAGTCTGACTATGACAGCAGAACAGAAGGTATGCTCAGCAATTGCTACAGGGACATGAAAGAAGACAGCAGGCTTCACAGGGTGTTTAAATACGTGAGGTGCAGCTACTTAAAGATAGTACTCCAAGGCATTCATTTTATACTAAATCAAAGCAATAAGAAGATAATACCTTTTTTTCAGATTTTAATTTAAGAATTTAGGATTCAACTTAATTCATACTGGAAAACATACACATACACACACACATTTCTTTCTATACAGTCTATTACTCTATTTCACATGGCGTAAACTAATAAAGGAGCTCTGGTAGCATAGTGGTTACGAATTGGGCTGTGAGCCGCAAGGTCAGCAGTTCAAAACTATCAGCCGTTCCGCGGGAGAAAGATGAGGCTTTCTGCTCCTGTAAAGATGTACAGCCTCAGAAACCCTGTTCAGGGTCACTATGAGTCAGAACCGACTCCATGGCACATAACAACAACAACAACAACAAACTAATAAAAGAATATCAAATGTTAAGATAGACAAATGCTTCCTCAGGAGATGAATTAGGATATCCTAGAAGCAATTTGTTGTGCATCTGACAAGAACCCTGACAAGAATGTTCATGAATGCCCATTTTGTAAACCATCTATAGACCATGGGTACAGGCAAAGAGATCCAGTGAAAAAAAGATCTTGAATGAATGTTAAGATTCTAAAACATAAAGGGCTTTAAGTTATATTATCTATGGGACAAGGGACAATCTTAAGTAATTTTGGATTCAGTGAGAACTAGTTAGCATCTGATACATTCTGCCTTTGAAGTAAAGTCATATAAGTTAAATAAAAATGTTTATGTACAACCAAACTCCTCATGGGATCTGGGTCCCAGGTTTGGAGATTTGGGGTCATAGTTTCATCAAACATCCCAGTTAGTTGGCTTAATAATATGTAATAATGTTTAGTGCTTCTGTTCTGCCTCTCAGTTCATTATCTAATGTCTGGGGTCTTAAAAGCTTGCAAACAGCCATCCAAGGCAGAATAATTGTTCTCGATTTCCCCTGGAGCAGCAGAGGAAGGCGAGTCAGGAATAGAAAGAGGATGCAGACTATCTGACTAATTGCTGTCATGTGTAACTGCCTCCTTTGCCATGAGATAAGAAGAACTAATGGTACCCTGTTACTATCACCAAACACTAATCAAAGGTTCCATGAAGAATCTTGATCAAAGGGGGAAAAGTAGAACAGAATTTCAAGTTCTCATGGACTCTAGGTTTTCTGAAGTCATGGAGGGTGGGTGAACTACTGAAAATATTGCTCTGAGTTCATCTTTAAACCTTAAACCAAAATTTATCATTTGAAATGATCTTAAAATCAAACAGTCATTTGGCTTTATTAGTTTAAAAAAAAAAAGGGTCTACCTTGAGAATTATGCTTTTTTAAGAACTACCTCTATGGGATCAAATTGACAACGGCAACTCCAACGATGAAGTAGGACCCTTCGGGACAGTGGATTTATAAGGGAAGAACCACTCAGAAAAGGACAGTGAAAATGGTTAGAGAACGCGGTGTGCCTGATTTGTACATGTCGTGACAGCCAGTGAGTTAGTGGATGTTTTGCTGCGTATATTTTCAGCAACAACAACAAAATACATTTATATATATATATTTTTTTAAGAATTTTAAAATAAAAAAAGGATTTTATAGAATACTGGAAAAAGAAAAACAGAAAAAACTAAGAATTTAATTCACAAAGACTGATGTTTCAGTAAGGTCCGGGCTTCCTAGAGAGAATCAGATGACTTAGTTACTGGCTGACAGACAGACTGACTTACTTATTTCTCTGCTTTTAGTGTAGGTGGTCTCAACCTGGGTCTTTGGATCAATGTCAGAGACAAGTGAAACTTCTGAAGTTGTACGGATGATAT